CCTCTGATCTAAACCCTGCTGATCTGGACGCGCTACCACATCTGGTGAATTGTGCGCAATGTGTGAAGGCTATCTCCATTTCCATACACGGAAGAATTATATAGAACATCGAGAAGTTGCTAAACTGTCTCAAACCTAACCCCGGCTTGGTGGATCTGCACGGTTGCCTTGCAAAAGGAGCGGCCGCAACACACTAGCCTCAGCGTTGCATGGAGTGGGTACGCCAAATGTACGAGCAACAAGTGTTTGACCTTCTTGCAAATGAAACAAATAAAGGTGTATGAGGCTGGAACGTTATTGGGGCCAGCATAAGATCTTCGCAAATGCCGCAGCAAAACAGTTCTGCAACTTCTTCCTCTGAAGTCATCTCGGTCCTAGGCCAGATTCAGGCCAACAGGTGGATTTCAAGAAACACCAAGGACACTAGATCTCACAAGATCCAGCAACTATATGAGAAGAAAAAATAAGAACCTGAGAGAACGCTTCAGAATTGCAGAAAAAAGGCAGGCAGCAAGGTTCCCATCAAAATTGAGTGCATCAGGCAACCTTCACCTAGAGATGCTGAGAAGCAGACAGAAATGTTGCTGAGCCCAAATGCTTCAAACCCTGAGTGCTCAATACAATACTTTTGAGCCTAAACGCTACACTCAAAGAAAGAAGAGGATGAATGTGTTTGATAAGTTTTGGAAGATGCCTGCAGGGCCCGAACACGCCGCTCAACAGGCATTCACTTGAGCCGTTTAGTGTCTTTTCTCGACATGTCAACGGGTCTTAAAAGTTAGCCTCGCAAACTTAAGGCGCGGAACGACAGCGCGAAAATGCGAGGCACTTCTTGCACTTGGAAAAGGGTAGCTCGGTATCCCTCTCGCAATGCCCCCCCATGGATTCTCTATGAGTTGGCTTAACTCATTGCGATCTGCATGAGAGGGACCACGATGCGACTGATTGTGCAAGCACAACTCGTTTCAGCTGCTTTTGCCTCCAGCCAAAGACTTTGTTCACTACATGCTTCTCACCTGCCGAAGCCGCCAATGGCCTGGCTAAAACCATGCTTCCCTCAACCCAATGTAAACCTATGTATCTCCAGAAGTTCGTCTCAAACATATAAACATGTGAACATATACATGTTAGTGAGTATGTCGGCGCGCTGCAAAAAATCTTGCGAAACATGCATGCATGCGTACACACATGCATACAGTCCACACATGCGAAACATGCATGCACGAGGCCAAACAACAGCGCCAGCATCGATTTGCCAGCAGACGCAACTGTCAAGCCCTTGTCAGCGGGATTGACTGGACCACGGCATCCAAAGTCACCAAACACCTCAGCAAGGTCCAGGCCAACCACATCCGCACCTGGAACCAAGCTGCCATCCGTTTCAAGGATGACACCGCCACCAAACAGTGCCCACTCTGCCAGGTTCCAGCGACACCGAAGCATACCGTGTGGCTTTGCAAATGGCACCACAACCAAAAGCACCAGCCCCTTCCAGTGCCCTGGACCGAAAGGTTGCACGACCCGCTGGAAGAACCCCTCTGGGCCTACGGGTGGATACCAAAAGAGCCACAAGATCACCTCCATCGACCACTGGACCTGGAAGGACATGGGTGTTGGCAGTCCCTTGAACCACTTCCACCAACCGTGGCAAGGGCTCTCAGTCACTGTTGATGCCACTCCGCGCGCGACAAAAGAGCCCAAGCATGGATCTATGCCCTCTGCATTCATGGCTACTCGCTGGGAGCCCTGCAACGAAAAGGAACCATCACTGGCATGGCGAGGGGGCCACAGACGAAAGCCAGAGCCATCTTCCAAGGGCTCCTCACCTTGGCCCAATTCATCCAGACACCAACCAGGGTGATTGTCCAGGTCAGCTCGGTCTGGGAAGCCTGGACCAACCGGCTAAGAGGAAGGGCTTCCATGATCTTGTCCAGGGGCAACCTGCAGAGTACTTCACTCTGATCACACCCCTCTGCATCCACAAGAACCGCAAGACCCCGGATGCTCCCGGAAATGAACCCCATTTACGCCAGAGACAAAGGGATGCAGCCCTGGCGGCATGGGAGCGGGCAACCAGCATCCACAACCCAGACAAAGAAGCCTGGCAGAGCATCCTCGACCAAGACCACCTTGAGATCTACAAGCATGCGGCTGCTCGATTGGCCAAAATCTACGACGACAAGGACCACTACCTGCACACCAAACCAGGTCGAGCTGCTGCCCACAAGACCAGGCAGAGGAAAAAGACCCTCATCGCCCAGTGCCAGCAGCCATGGCAACCGGGCAAACACCAATGGAAGGCCCACCGCAGCGGCTACCAGTGCCACACTTGCCAAACTCGAGTACATCAGGGATTGGCTGCATCCATGATTGAAGAACGGCTCCAGGAAGACTGTGCACAACTCACAGCACCCGCCCCGGAACCAGACCTCCCACCTGATCGAGCAGTGGGGAAGAAACCCATGCACCCGAGCGAGCCGCATTGCCTCTCTGCTCCAGCTCCAGCAAGAACATCCGACCACACCAGATGTTCATCACCTCCAGGAAACCACTGGCTACCTGAAGTGCACCAAATGCAACCGAGCCATCCACAAAAGGGCCAATGAAGAGCTGTTCAATCAGTTCCTGAACAGCACCTGCATTGATGCACCCTTCTCCCAGGAGCATGCAGCCCATGGGACACACACCTCACCTTGATGCTCAAGACCGCCCGATTCTCGCGAAAGGACTCCAGAGAGAGTGTAAAGGGCGCAAACCGACCTCGCCCACACTTGCGCGCGTCTTCAGTCAAGCAAGTCCTTCCAGCCAAGGGGTTAGATTATTAGATTCGCCAACAGCGTGGCAACACCGTTTGGCCGCGCCTGATCCACTTGAGTCCCCCTTAGGTGTTTTGTGAAATCGAGCTCTAAAAATTGTGCTCTCGCTTGCATTTCGAGCCATTTTTGCCCCTGGAGCGATTCCAAACACGGCAAAACGAGAAATGTAGCAAAATCCTTGAGCCTGGTGGGGGAGAAGCCTCTGGGATGTCGAAAAGGTCGTCAAAAAACTAGGAACTGGAAAGGAGCTGGATTTGGGCCTTACAGGGACAGTTTTGAAGCCCTTTGGTTTGCGCCAAGGCGCAAAACACTGTAAATTACAGTGCTTTCACAAATTTCGGCGTTGCAAAAACTGCGTAAATATCGATGTTTTTGGGGCGTGGTGCGCGAAATGCTGAAAATATCGCGGTTTTCAAGAAAACCGTGTAAATACCGTGGCTTTGAGCGCTCGATAGCTCAAAACCATCGGTACTTACGCTGTTTCCTGGCATAAAAGCACCAAAAACTACCCACGTAGCGTGGTTTTGGTGCACGTTTGAAGCCTCGAGCAACAAAAAACATTGATATACACAGCGTGTCCAATCTTTTTTGTCGTTCAACCACCAGCCTGAGGGATTTTGCGTGATCTCTTTTTGCGTGCGCCCCAAACGTGTTTGACGCGAGGTTTTGGGGGGCGCAAGAAATACAAAAGGCAACGGACAGCCGCAAAAAACTACAAAAAAACAATCAGAAACAGAACCCGATAGCGAACACGCGCCCAACCGGCATCGCCGGTCTGCGAAGCTCTACAATATACTTTTAGCAACGACAAACAGGTCACGGTACTGCTTCCCAAAACAATCTACTGTAAGCAATCCAAATGTTCCGAGCAAAAGTGATGATGAGTGGTACAGTATTGGCGGCAGGACATGGCCAAGTGCGAGATAGGTTGAAGCATTTGGGTCAGTGCCTGGTTGATTTGAGGAGCTGGGTTTTGATGTGGTGCGATGAGCCCTTGTCACGCATTGCCCCAGGCACATGAGGAAGGCCAAAATGATGAACTGGTTACTGATCGAGTACGATGCCACAAGGGCTGGGCGCAATCAGGATCATGAGCGCATTTGCGCTTTGGTATATGTGAGTGTACTTAAGATGATGGTGGACAGGGATGTTGAGAGTTTTCCAGGAATGATGAGGGGAGAACAAGTTTAGAGCGAGATCATGGCCAACATGGATGCTGCCACGCAACGTGGCCTCATGGTATGGCCAGGCCTCTCGAGAGCCAGAGACGCCAGTGGGAGCGGAATTGATTCAAGGGTTTGAGGTCTTTGAGGCCACCCTCTCACTTCTTTGCTAAAGCACTAAAGCAAGAGTGGCTCCAGCTAGCTGAGGCTAGCTTTCGTGATAACTGTGTTGAAAAGGGAATCCCTTAAGACAGAAAGAAAGAAAATGGATGGATGGATGGATGGATGGATGTACCTTTGTCGGACGCTGAGTACGAGTCTCATGGCGCGGCTCACGCTCAGTTGGTAGAGCTGGACATGAAAGGCCTAGTTGGCTAAAAAGGAGAGGAGCTCTTCAAGTTGATGTGAGACGAAAAATTCCCTCGCAGCTTCATGAAGAGCACCACAGCAGCCTTCCAGATGTAATTGGGCAGGTCGTCGTGATAGATCGGCTGCCTTCCATCATTCTTCTCAATCCATAGCCCTTCGCGGCGCATCAGCACCACGTAATGCCCGCCGTGCCTGTCACCGAAATGGGCCAAGATGGCCAGCACCTGATAGGGACGGTAGCTGTAGTGAAGTTGGTCACCGTCAAAGATCGGGACCTGGATCACCTCTTCAAAGCGAATCTCGGGGATCCGCAAGGCTTCATTGTGTAACAGATAGCCCCTGTCGATGTGGAGGCATTTGAAGGGGGTCGCCGAGACGAAGGCTGTTCTCATACCTAAGTGGCGCAACCAGGAGGCCAAGCAATCCGAGATGTGGAGGGAATTACAGGGCAGCAGCCAGCAGGCAATGCTCTCCTCCTTTTTCATGAATCTCCACCTGGTCCCCATGAAGCAATCTCTGCTCTCAGGAGTGGCTCAGTAAGGGGAATTGGCCCCACTCGGCGGCGCAGCACGGTTGGTTTGGCTGCTCACCCCAAAAGCGCAGCAGCGGCGCAATGGCCTGCAGCGCATACAAAGAGATTTCCTGCGCTTGTGCACAGGCTGTCAAAACTGCCTTCCAGTTTAAGGCGTGTGGTCCCCAAAGCTCAGCATGTGTGGCCTCATCTGGGCCACGCAGCAGCATCCAAAGGAGGCCGGTCAAGGTGGCATTCAAATAGCGCCAATCTCCAGGATTCCGGAGGAGAATGCGACAAAGGGCCTCCCTTGCAGCGCTCCGGTCAAAGGACATGGAGGGCTCAGTCAAAATGATCGTTTGCCTTTGCCTTTCCCTTTCCCCTTCGGAGCACGAGGGTTCTTGTGCTCTGCAATCAGGCTCTGATGAATCGTCGTTGCCAGGTTGGATCTCTTGGCATTGTGAGGGTGGAACGTCATCTGGAGCAAGTGCCATACACTGCTGTACGCGCGCAGACCAATCTGAAGCCTCCAATGGGATCGCGCCACCCCCCCCGCGGAGGTTTGAGAGCTTGCATCCGCAGCACTGAAGAGGGGGCACACAGCAGCTCCCGATTCTCCTGCAGGGTCTCCATAAGGGTCTTCATGGACAGGCCCTTGGTCTGATTGATCTCTCCAGCTTGCTCTTGCCGTGGTTCCATGTCAAGAATGGCCAGGGCGACCTGAGCGCTCACCGTCTGACTCCAAGCAGGTGAGTTGCGATCCATGTTGCTGATCTTTTGCACCCTCTCCAGCAGGGTCTCGAAGATTGCCCGGATCAAGATCAGGCGGAGCGGAGTGGAGGGAGGATTGCTGTTCTGCATTTCCTGTGTCCACTTGTTGGTCTCCTGCAGCAGGGTGGGCTGGATGCCAGCATCTCCGGGTGTGGTGAAAAAATGAAGCAATCCTGCTTGGCGATGCTTTGGAGCTGATCCTCGTGCTTGATGAGGAGGTTCATCGTTTTCAGCAAGTGGGTGAGTTGGGGCTGGCTGAGCTGAACTGCTGAGGAGTCGGTCCGCTGTCTCTTCTCTGCCACTCTGGGTTCGTTGCCGCTTGTACTTCCCCTGTTGGTCAGCAGCATTGGTGCGAGGACTCCCATTGTCTCCTGCAGCTGGTACGAGAAGTCCTGGACGTTCATCGGAACCGATTCTTCCATCGATGTCACGAACCACGATGGCAGAACACAGGGCAGCCAGCTGAGTGACCACTGGGCAGTTGTGCTTGAGCAGCTGACATGATGTCGCTGGATCCGACAAAGACTGCATGGTGTGACAAACGCAGTGTGCATGAGTCAGGTGTTGTTTGTTCCACATCTCAATGAATTGATGTCCATAGTGCTTGTCAAAGGCATGGTGCAGGACATGATGTGACAGCATTTCATTCGGCTCGATTGACTGCGCGCAAAAAACGCATTGGCGACTGAGGAGGTCACAATCCGGTGGAGACTGCAAGATCCCAGACCAGTTCTTGCGCAGGAAGAAGCTCAGGAGGCCAGGTAGACGGGCACCCAGTTGATCATGTACAGGTGCAAGAAGTTGAGCTTGGGTGAAGTCACATGGCATGATGACGGCACGCTTCAAGGGCATGAAGTTGAAGTAGATCATGGCCAAGTGTTCCAGCCGACGCAGCTATGTCCCCGTCGAGCCACCGGAGCTGGATTGCAGATGCAAGTACCCTGCCAACAGTGCTGCAACATGGTGGCAAGGTCCGAAGAGATCAGCCACAGGTGGCCATGTGCACATTGAAGGTGCTTGAAGAGACCGGACAATCTGGTAGTCGTGAAAGGACAGAGTTGACATTGGAGACTCAGGCGCATCTTGATTGTGGAGTCCTGCAAGTAAATGGAAATCGTGCCCTCGTTATCTGATCCAGGTCATGATCCCTGCGTGGAGCCGGAGGGAATGGAATGGAAGTCAACCCATGGTGGTGTCGTTGATGACAATGGAGATGGTTCTCATCCAGGCAGCAGAAGTTGCAAAGGTGACATTGATGCTGCATAGAAGTGGCCTTGGAGGGAACATGAATCCCTGCAAACTGGCCTGAGTAGTGCAAGGCGTACGCCTGAATGTTCACTGCTGCTGAGCACAAGTGACCCTGTCGTCGTCGAGGGCGAAGGCACAGGAAGCATGGGTCCCGTTGCCGCCTGCGCATAAATTCTCGACCCGCTTGGACTGCCCGATCCGCCAAGTTGCTGTGACTATGGCGTAGATGAGTAGTCAGCTCCTGAGTCCTGGGAACGAATCGTTGGCATAGGATGCACTTGGAGCTTAAAAAGTCCCTGAGAGTGTCGTCTTGCGCAATGGCTTCCCAGGAGGCAGCCAGCAAATGATCACGAAGCTGCCTTTGAGCACGTATCAAGTCATCTTCATCATCCTTGGACGGGTCAAAGACGAGACAGGCTCGATGTTGGATGTGAGTACGCAGGTGTGTCCAATCATGAAATGATTTCAAGAAGTGTGAACAAGTCGGAAGGCCTTTCAATGCATCTCTTGCTTGATCAAATCGAACTGGGCGCTGCAAAAGCACTCTGTGGTCCTGCATGCGATGTATGGCCAGTAGCGTCCGGCTCAAGAAGTCGGCCTGACATTCCGGGCACTGAAAGCTGGGACGAAGAGTGTTGGTCGTCAGTTCAAATGGTTCAATGTTCCAGTGTGCAAGCAAAGCTGCAAAGTGCTCAGTGGCTAGCAATGGTCTACGATGGAGAATGTCATCCGCATTGAGTGGGTCCTGCCTGTGCTCCAGTCTGGTCAGGTGGGCGTCAACACGGGCGCGAACGATCTGCACAGCCGTTGGCAGGCCGTGATGGCAAAAAAAAGGCTCGGTGGGACCTACCAGAGTAGTACGGGTGATCAAGATAAATCTTACGAAGCATGGCCGTGATTGTGGACATGAGGAGATTGCAGCCTTTGGTGGAAACTCCAATATCGGGCAAAGCATACATTAAGATGCTTAGAACACAACCCTGCCACAAAAGAAATCTGTCTCTGATCAGCAGGCATCTGGAACTCATGAGCCACTTGCGGAGACGACGGAAGGCATTCCAACTGCAACGATGCGAGCACGGACTGTGGCATCAAGGTGGTCCTTGTAGTTGATTACCATGCCGAGATACACTGTCTGTTTGACAAGTTGAATCAAAGAGCAATTGCCTTCACGACGAGGAATGCACAAAAACCATATTCTTGCTGTCCTTTTGGTGCGCTGGCGCAACAGCGCCGCTTGTTGGGCACCTTTAACAGCCAAAACGATTTGGGTTTTTTCCACGTTAATGGTCAACCCTGCATCCGTCATGATATCAAGTATTCTGCCAATTTTTCGAAGGCACTCACGGAACTCGGCGGCACTGTGAAAAATGTCACAAACATGAAAATCATCAGCGTACAGGTTGAGGGCATTATGGATCCAATCGCCAAATTCCTCGAAACAAGTGGTCAGCAGAGACCACATGGCTATGCTCCACAAGGTGGGCGCACAGGGGCACCCTTGACGGATGCCAATGGCAGTTGGGACACGGTCTTCAAACCGGCCACGCTGTACAATATAATGAGTGTCAGTGTGCCACTCTTGGATCAGGCGAGACAGCATGGGAAGGGCTTCAAGCTTATGAAGACTATGGTAGAGAAATTCTCTAGGAATGGCATCGAAAGCTCGGCTTAGGTCAACGAAAAGTTGAAGTCCCCCGCAAACCGGTAGGATTGGACGCCCATCTGCAATGACATGAGGGGTCTTGCTGGAATGTAGTGCCAGCATGTTCTGCACTCGAGTGCAGTGTTGCGAAACTCTGGCTAAAGCATCCCCTGTTCCGCGGCCGGAGATATATGCCCATTGAGGCATGGTGACCAGCTTGCTGAAGGCAAATGAACGGAGGGCTCGTGCAAGTAAGGTCATGACACACTTGCCTAATGGTTCTTGCAAGGCTAATGGCCGAAGGTTTTTGGGATGATCCGGAGGCTTATTGGGTTTAGTGAGCCACACCATCCATCCGTCCTTCCATGTTGAAGGGATGTAGGGCGGAGTCAGTGCCCACCACTGTTGCAGCAGCATGTACAACGGGGACGCAATCTCAGTTGAGAAGTGTCTGAAGGCACCACCCGAAGCATAGGGGGAAGCAACTGCTTTAGACCATTTGATATGACTAAGTTCAACACGCAACTGCTCTTCGGTGAATGGCATGCACCCAAAAGGGGTGGTAGACAGTGGCGGTGTCCGCAACCGAGTCAGAGCTACTTCACATGAAGGCGCTTTCCAGGTGTCATGCACAAAACGAACAAAAGCAGCTTGTGTTTCCACTGGTCCAAGTGGTTGGCCATGAGGGTCTCCGGACAGTTTTGGGGGCCAATTGATTAATGAGTTGATATGCTTTATATGTGTCATGACACTCCAGAGCCTGTACTGCTTCCTCTCTCAGTGTGTCAAGTCGACGCTGGCGCCACTCCTTGGCATGCAGACGTTTGAGAGAGCTGATGCGACGAAACGAACTGAACAAATGCCATGCGCCAAATAGGCCCTTCACCGAGGCATCATTGCGTTGACGAAGCTGATGCCACATGGACCATTTTTGATGGACAAGAACCTGTGCATCAGTCCATGCAGGTTGCTTCCGTTGGGGCTTAGGAAAACAGTCCTCGAATGCTTGCTTTAATCTACCATGTGTCCCCTTCAAAGCAGGTTCATTTGCAAAGCCTTCAGGACGAAGAATGTGCCTGGCTCTGGTAGCAAAGGTATGCCACGAAGCATCATCAGTGTCCTGGGTGAGCAAGTTCTCTTTGCTGCAAGGAAATGGTTTTGATAGGGAGAGAACTCATTGGGGGTATGTGATAGCTGGTGGCTTCACCAAGCACTGCGAAGTCAACATGCGGTCGAAACTCCTTGGCCGTGGAGTCAGCACAAATGGACCCGGTGAAAGCATAGGCATGGTCCAGCTTGGAAGTGGTCCTGCCATTGGTGAAGGTGCCACGCATCAGGTTATAACAATTGAGCCCACGGAGCTGATGTTGCCAGGGTGGTTCCAGGAAAGGCCCGAAATGCAGAGACCGGTGCTTGTAATGGCAATTTGGGGAGTGCGCAACCGAAGCCCCCTAAACACAGCAACATGTGTCTGGACGGAAGCCATTTGAGAAGAGCATCCAAGGCTCCCAGATTGTCTTACGCTTACGAATCTGGTCAGAGGTGGCTGTCCCTGCAACCTGGTAAACTGTTACAAGATCGATAGCCCTTGGATGTGTGTACAATCTGACATGAATGACACGGCCAAGGCAAATCGAACAATGCGCAATGTCCTGTGAGGAGCAAACGGTGGCACGAATCATAACAAGAATTCCAGCGTGGGTCTCCTGGTGAGTGGCAGCACTGATATAATGCCAAGTTCCATCACTCCAGTCCCTTGAAGAGGTCCAGTGAGTTTTAACCAGGACCAGGATGTCCAAGAGAGTCGAATTGGCCCACAGGCGGATCTCATCAAATCGATGTCCCGGCAGACCTCCACAGTTCCAAACTCCATACCGAAGGTGAGGAGATGTGGATTTGGGAAAGCATGCTATCGGCCAACGCGTGTATGGTAGAGGTTCAGGGAGCTTCCAATGCGGTTGTCCTAAGCTTCGAAGGGTATGAGTGTGACCACGATATTGAGTAACCCCGTGAGTGGCTGCATTGTTACAAGCTTTTCTGTACGCACGTTTACGGGCCTAGAGGCTTGTGGGTCCTGCTGGCGTCTTTCGTCCCATCGTGCGGAAGGTTGGAACGAATGTTGTATGGACTTCTGCTGTGTCCCAGCAACACAGCAACCCTTGGGCATCCAAGGAAGGTGCCTCCAATCTGAGAGGCATGGCTATCCAAGTGAAGAGGAGCCAACCAATGATGACCTTCCCTGCCAGGGATTTGGGACCCTTGTCAGCCGTGCCGCCTGCCACGGTGGTGCATCTTCTCTGCTTTCTAGTACGTTGCCAGGTGCAAGACCAGCTGTGGATGTATCCGAAGGAGTTCACCAGGAACGGAAGGTGGATCTCAACAGTCAGGACGTAAGAGATCAAAAGGAGCCAGGCCGCAGCAGCGCACCAGCCAAGGTACTCCAAGGTGTACATCAACAACTTCTTCAAGATCTCGTGGATCTCATGAGCAGAATGTTGGGGTGCCGCACCAGCCCGCGGCACCGTGGGCAGGGCTTGAGCAGCTGAATGCGATGGATGGATGGATGGATGGATGGATGGATGGATGGATGGATCGATGGATCGATGGATCGATGGATGGATGGATGGATATGCATATGTCAGCTCAGATTCTGCACAAACATCTACACTTGTTGCATCTCAGTGAGGCTTAAAAAAGATGCAGAACACACTCAACGTGTTACAACACTGCGCTAGACTCAACCCTTTTTAGTCCAATTCCTAAAGCGGAGTGACTTGGCCTAAGCCAAGGGCAGGCATCCAGGTTCACAGAGCATGGAATTCGCGTGGCGTCTCCTGGGAAGCGTCCCTAATGCTCCGTCTGAAAGGATCAGGGTGCGAAAGCCGCCAACCTAAATGTGATGGAGCTACTAGGAGCAGGACGCTTCTAGGGGCTCTCCTGGCCTTACTACTAGGAGCAAGGACGCTGCTAGGGGCTCCTGGCCATACTACTACGACCAAGGACGCTACTACGGTCTCCTGGCATGACTACTAGGAGCAAGGACGCTACTAGGGGCTCCTGGCACTAGGCTACGACTAGGGGCTCCTGGCCTTACTACTTACTAGGAGGAGCAAGGACGCTACTGGCGCTCCTGGCCTTACTATTAGGCTACTACGGGCCCCTGGCCTTACTAGTAGGAGGAAGGACGCCACTAGGGGCTCCTGGCCTTGCTTCCAGGAGCAAGGACGCTACTAGGGGCTGCTGGCCTTACTACTAGGAGCAAGGACGCTACTAGGGGCTCCTGGCCTTACTACTGGGAGCAAAGATGCTACTAGGGGCTCAAGGACGCTACTAGGGGTCCCTGGCCTTGCTACTAGGAGCAAGGACGCTACTAGGGGTCCCTGGCCTTACTACTAGGAGCAAGGAGGCTACTAGGGCTCCTGGCCTTACTACTAGGAGCAAGGAGGCTACTAGGGGCTCCCGGCCATACTACTAGGAGCAAGGACGCTACTGGGCTCCTGGCCTTACTGCAAGGAGCAAGGACGCTACTAGGGGCTCCTGGCCTTCCTACTAGGAGCAAGGACGCTACTAGGGGCTCCTGGCCTTACTACTAGGAGCATGGACGCTACTAGGGGCTCCTGGCCTTACTACTAGGAGCAAGGACGCTACTAGGGGCTCCTGGCCCTCCGAGCAAGGATGCTACTAGTGGCTCCTGGCCCTCCTACTAGGAGCAAGGAGCTCCTGGCCTTACTACTACGAGCAAGGACGCTACTAGGGGTTCCTGGCCTTCCTACTAGGAGCAAGGACGCTACTAGGGGCTCCTGGCCTTACTACTAGGAGCAAGGACGCTACTAGTAGCTTCTTGTTACTGTAAATTGTTGCATCTGAAAGGATCGCGCCACATGCAAGCCGCCTTAAGAAGGCCAAAGCAGCACGCCTCCGGCAACCTCATGAAGCTCATATCCAGTCGCAAGAACACTGGACTGGCCGGGCACAGGCCTTACATCGTACTGCAGCTGCCACCCTTGGAGGCTCCTGGCTTGCTCAAGTCCACCTGTCAAATTCAAGGCAAGGTTGCTAGCAACAACATTCAATTCCATCATTCTTCTGATGTGACTATGCAGCTGCAACAAGTTCAGATGACCGTTGCTCATCGATGAGTCATGGCCTTGTCCTCTTTCAGCTTCATTTCAGGCTCTCCCTCGACATATGTCAGGGAGAGCCCGTTGGCTCAGTGTCGCTCGCCGTTTGGATTGTCTGGCTTGAAAGAATCGAAGAATACATGGCCTCAGACAACAAAGAGTCTAACAAATGGTAACAAAAGTGCCTTTGAATGCAGAAATCGGGGGAAGATATTCATCACGCAACAGAAAAAAAAACCTACGAGACTATGTTGAGAACCTTCGCCTTCGTTGCAAACCCTCACGACTCAACCGACCTGGGACCCTCCCTTTTCCAACTTGGCGACCCGGAGTCGCTGTCGCTCGAGCGGCCAAGGTGGGAAGCACATCTGTTGCAAACGATTTCCAAACCACCAAACTCTGAGACGGTGCCCACGTGGCAGCCGCCGGCATCCTGGCGGAGTCAGAGGTCAGAGACCAGAGTTGGTTGGGACACATCTAAAATATGGGGTGAAAGATATGGTCCAGGGCCTAGGGTTCCCCATCTTTATCAGTCATTTGGTCCTTTGAAGGCACAGAACGTTTGACTCACTGATCCATCTGAGGTTGATCCATCTGAGCCTCGGAGTAGTAGCAGGTCTTGAAAACTGGCCAACCGCAGTTGCTTCGGAACTTGGATTTGGCGGAGTAGAGCCTCGCAATGACATGTCTTGAGCCTAGCAGGTTCCATCAAATATCTCAAATCAAAAACTGGGGGACGCTGGTTGGTCACCGAAAATGAACAAATAGACTGCCAAAAAGGTCAATCTACCGGGGTCAACAGGCTCCAGGTTTTGACTCACAGCCAAATACCTAGCCCATCCTTCACCAACAGCAGTTGCGAGGTCTTGCTTCTCTCCAAGACACGGCAAACCGCACGCTCCGCAGGCAAAGTATCCCTGCGACGGCACCGGGTGATCTTTTGACAGTGAACAGGACATGTGCCCAGCGGCCACGCTGTGCTACCTACCCCCCAGCCTTTGTTGGCATGAACCGATCATACTCGTGAGAGCCGGGTGGCTCTGTCCCCTGCTGTCGGAGTACCTGATTGCCAGAACACTTCAGGGACCACGCACACAGCTGGGAGTTGGAAACGCACCCGATAACGTCTTGGGTCCAGCTTCTGGCGCCACTGATCCTGGCGAAAAAACTGATTCAGCTTCTCTGCAGAAGTCGATGTCTTCAGCTGTTGGGCCTCTGAGACATTGATCTGAAAGGACTTCCCCTCGAGAACCTGGCAAGCTGTCCCATGCATGCAGCTGTCGGCCCAGCAAGGCACGACAAAAAATGCGCATTGCATGATCATGTCAGCTTATATAGATCATCTCATCACCCGGCAACACTTACAAAAAATGAATTTCAGCAAGAAGGACTGTGGGGAAGACAGCATGCCCAGCATGACTGCTGATTGATCCTTGACTTGGTGACCAACCCCGGGGCACCTTTTGTAGCTGTCCGCTTTCTTCAATTGCCATCAGATCGTCACAACCACCCAGGCATTGGCCCTTGACGAAGATCTTGGTGCGGTCAGGCCCGAACAACATGGAAGCCTCCTCACTTTGCTCTCTTGAACTTGTTCACTTACTGAGGGCGTTGAATGCCCAAGCCAGCATCATATTAAACCAGCCTCTCAGGTTCAGTACTAGCAGTAAATGCTGCAGAATTACGAGGGCTCAATAAACCTTTGCCCAAAAAGAGCAATGGTTTACCAGAATAGGAATTACAAAGGCAAAGCTTCTTCAACCGTTTAACAAAAAGTTGGTGTATATGATATCGCCCTTGCGGCACGGGAATGCTGCAAAGCCGCTCGAGGCACCGTGCGAGCACCCGTCAGTTCTGCAAAGGTATCCTGTCGGAAACCAGAAAAATCCCGAGGCTTTGGAACAAGGTGTCAATGGAGAGTCCTGCATGGCAGCGCCTTCCTGCAGCTGGTCATTTCAGATTAAGTGATTTATATGATTCCAACCCGAGGGTTGGCAGGTACCATGTGCACAAATGACTACAGAAGTTGCGTTCATTCTATTAATTTCTGTTTTGCATTCCCTTTCATTTCATATAAAACAGAAATTAACTCATTCACTTTCTTCTATTCGTACCAATAGACGCTTGGTCAGGGTAGTCTTTATATTATTGAAAGAAGTGAATGGTTTTTATTGCAACGCAACCTTGGCACGCCGCCTCTGCCGGAAGTTCGTCCAACTCAACAACAACGAATTTGCTCCCTGTGGACTTCAAGACTTCTTTAGCCTCCGTAGATTTTGCTCGACACGCCAAAAAATGACATACAAAGCTTGATGTTACGTCAGTCATGCAGTCGACAAGCCATGAGAAGCATCCAGCCTGACTGCAGAATGGGCAGGTCGTCTTCGAGAACATGATAACATCATGTTCCTGTTCATCCCAATCACGACACGATTGTCTCGTCCGAGCTTCAAGCTAGGGTTGCAAAAAAAAACAGGGCATCCCTTCCTTGCCAACCTTTTGGTGGAAATGAACACATCCTCTAGTACCTATGGCACACCCTGAAAAGCAACCACAAACAGTAGCTCTGCCCGCACAGTACATACAAGCATAAAGCTGAATCTGAAAAAAAGTGAGTGACATGCAATGACAAACAAAAGCGCCCTATGCACCACAAACCTCATTGAACAGTTTGCGCCCTATGCACCCAAAGACCTTTAGATGAGGGCGCATCTTTTAGCTGTGTGGGCCTTGACCAAGTTCTTGACTTTTTCTGAAGGAACCGTCGTGGTGGAAGTGGATGCCGCCCTTCGACTCGTGGCCGAAACAACGCCGCCTCGGTCCGTGTCAGACCGTCAGACAGAACCAACCCGCCGTTCGTTCGTTGGCTGTTTCACCGTGTTTCGACCACCGTAGCTTCTGGTTACTGGTAGCTATTTGCTCCTAGTAGTAATGCCCTTTGTTACTATATAGTAGCGATGCCC